TTTTTGGCAGGGGGAGGCATGGAGTCTTGCTCTGTCGCCCAGGCTGGAGTGCAGTGGCGCAATCTCGGCTCACTGCAACCTCCACCTCCTGGATTCGAGCAATTCCCCTGCCTCAGCCTCCCGCGTAGCTGGGATTACAGGCGCACGCCAACATGCCCTGCTAATTTTTTTATATTTTTAGTAGAGACGGGGTTTCACCATGTTGGCCAGGATGGTCTTGATCTCTTGACCTCATGATCCACCCACCTCAGCTTCCCAAAGTGCTGGGATTACAGGCGTGAGCCACTGCCCTTGGCCAACATCTGCTTCTTTTTTAAAATCGAGATGTAGTTCATACACTATAAACTTTACCCTTTGAAAGTGTACAGTTCGGTGGTTTTTAGTGTATTCACAAAATTATGCGAACATTACCACTGTCTTCATTCTAAACATTTTCATCACCCCAATAGGAAACCCCATACATTAGCAGCCACTGCCCTTTCCCCATCTCCCTGGACACCACTAATCTATTTCCTGTCTCTATGGATTTGTTTGTTTTTGACATTTCATATAAATAGAATCATAAGTATAAAATCTCTCTTGTCTGGCTTCTTTCACAAAGTGTAATGTTTTTAAGATTCATCCATGTTGTTGCATATATCAGTACTTCATTGCATCTGTATGAATGCGTTGTGTGGATACTTGTCATATTTTGTTGATCCATCAGTTGTTGAACATTTGGTGTTTTTCCACTTTTGGCTGTTATAAATAATGCTTCTGTAATATTTGTGTACAAGTTTTTATGGTTTTTGTGTAGACATGTTTTCATTTCTCTCGGGTAGGTACCTAGGAGTGGAATTGCTGGGTTTTATGCTAACTATATATTACCATAGAGTAACATTCCATAGAGGAGTTGCTAAATCGTTTTCTAGAATGACTGCACTATTTTGAATTCCCACTAGCAGTGTATGAGGGTTTCACTTTCTTTTTAGCCTTACCAATACTAGTTATTGTCACCTGTTTACATAAAGTTTTATTGGAACACAGCCATGCCCATGTTTGATTACTGGTTGTAGCTGCTTTTGCACCACCACGACAGAGTTGAATAGCAACAACAGAGACTTTGTGGCCTGCAAAGCTGAAAACATTTATGATTTGGCTCCTTATGGAAAAAATTTGCTGATCCCTGTTTAAGGGCATGGCTTTTTCTGAAGCTTAGTGTTTGTGACCTAGAAGTTGAAGTGCTAACTACTAGAGTCAGATCCCAGCAGTGTTTTCCCAACCTATAGGAAAAGAATTAATTATGGTATCCAGTGTTATTAATTTCAGAGTTTTCTGACTTTGTCTTAAACCTGTGTTGCCTCTCTGCCACATTTAAAGCAACGCATGTAGCAGTAGATGTGCCTTGTTTAAAACAAAACCATGTATATGTGTGTGTGTGTGTGTGTATATATATATATATTTTCTTTTTCTTGAGACCAAGTTTTGTTCTGTCGCCTAGGCTGGAATGCAGTGTGCGACCTTGGCTCACTGCAACCTCCGCCTCCTGGTTCAAGCGATTCTCCTGCCTCAGCCTCCTGAGTAGCTGGGATTACAGGCACCCACTATGATGTCTGGCTAATTTTTGTATTTTTAGTAGAGACGGGGTTTCATTGTGTTGGCCAGGCTGGTCTCGAACCTCCTTGGGTACTTTTGAGCGAGAAAAGCCAAGTCGTTTTCTGCTTTTAATGTAACCAACTGATTTAGTAAACCACTTCTAACATCTTGTTAGAGGCAGTGGAATTGTTTAGAGAAAGTAGGCCAGAGTAAATTCAGCCGCATTTGTTTTGGTGATGAGCATAAGGGCTAGTCCTTGGAGGCGTCAACCTGAGTCTGTCCCTATTGTGTCTGCAAATCGAAACGTCACTTCCACTTGATTCATCATTCCAAGAGATGGACACTGCATTATATCCAAAAGTCTGAAATGCCACCTTTAGAGAATTACCTGCCTTTGTGAGGCCTTACACCTTTAGCATCCTTCTACACTATGCTGGCCAGTCTGCACTATGAAACTTAGGTCACGTGTCTCTGTGGTTTCTCCTTAGTGCTGGGGAGACAACCTACAGTCTGGAACACGCCAGTGACCTTCGAGTGGAAGTGCAGAAAGTGTATGAGCTGATAGACGCTTTAAGGTAAGGTCCATTAAGTGGTATCCTGCCCGCTGGTGGAATGGAGAAGATGCTGTTCTAATGAAATGGCGAAAGTAGACCTGCACTCACTCACACTTCTGGTGAGGGGCAGTGGGTGAGGAGGAGGGCAAGGAAGGGGCCAACTCTGGCACTTAATGCATCTCAGTGACTTTTGTTTCATTAAGGATTTCTAATGTTTGTTATTGTTAAAGAAAGAGGAGCTAGTTATTGACACCTATCATGTGCTAGTCATTGGCTGTTTTCTCTAGAATAGCTCATTTATTCTGAAGTTACCCTGTGAGGTAGGGATTAACATCCTGTGTCAAAGGTGAGGAATCATGTCACAGATAGCAAAAGTTGTGGAGCAAAGATAGAAACTCGGGTTCTTTCTTTGTGTCTGTGCTCAAATCCAGAACTGCTTTTTAACTGTGGACTGGCCATTGGGGTTAAATTAGCCCTTTGATTTATGGGAAGTACAGTGACTCAGAGGGAGAATGAGATGAGGCGCTTTTGTCCATCCAGACATACAGCATGGGCTACGTAGATGCAGGGCCTGGTACAAAGTGAAAATGCATGTCCCCTGTCCAAAAATTATTAAGAATAAAGACACTAACAGCAGAGCATTAAACTAAGCATAGGGCTCTTTGAAGTGCCAGTCCTTTCTAGTTGCATAGGTTGCTCACCTGTGAAGCTGGCTCTGCATGTGTAGTCAGTCCCTCCATGACAGTGTTGTGCGCCCTGTGCTGAGGCCTGTGTACGGCCAAAGGGTAAGAAATGGGCTTTGCTTTCAAGGAAACTTCGATGGAGTCACTTGCCCATCTTTACACACCTTCCTGGCATGAAAGCCTGGCAACTCCAGATGTTACACTTTTCACCCTTGTTTCTGAAGCTGGCAGTGCTCATTATATTCATGTGTTTGTTCCAATTCAGTAAGAAGATCTTAACCTTGGGCTTGAACCAGGACCCTCCACCACATCCAAGCAATTTGCGGCTGCAGAGAATGATCAGATACTCAGCTACACTTTTTGTGCAGGTAAAGCCATCCTGGGTTGGCATAAATGTCATGCTTGGCCTGTCCTGCTCTTTTGCTTCCCCAGAGGCAGATCCATGCCAGTGACTTGTTTACTTCCTATTTATACATTGTATTATTTTTTGAAATTATGAATGCATGATGCCACACTTAAGAGAAAAATCTGGATTTCAGAGAAAACTAAAACTACTTTTAATCCTATGTCCCCATTACAATCACTCATTTTTCTGGTATGTTTTCTTTTCTCCTATTTGTATTTTTTATATACAGTATTTACAATAGTGCATATTGACTGTATATGCCATTCTTTAACCGTTTTCCTTTAGTTGAGCATTTGATAGACTAATTTTTTGCTGCTGTTAATTGTTGCCATGATAGTAATACTGGTACTTAGTATTTCTTCCTTAGGATAATCTCCTAAGAGACTTCCTGAGCCATCAGCTGGGAGGAAACAGCCGATTAAGGGCAGACTAACCTAAGTGGTTAGGTCTGAATTGTGTCTTTCTACCCGTGAAGGCCCCTTCTGAGAGAGTCACAGTTAACCACCCTTGGGGCTCCCTGACAAAGAGATCTTTTTTTTTTCTTTTTTTTTTTTTTAATTAAAACAAAGTGTTTTTTTCTTTTTTTTTTCTTTTATTAAGTAGGGACAGGGTCTTACCATGTTGCCCAGGCTGGTCTCAAACTTTTGAGCTCAAGCAGTCTGCCCACCTCAGCCTCCAAAGTGCTGGGATTATAGGCGTGAACCACACTGCCCCCAGCCAACAAAGAGATCTAATAGATGGAGTCCTGTTGGGTTAGTTTTCTGACTTTGTAATACAGAGAAGTAGGTCCTTCCTCACTTTGATTAGTGATTCTATTCAGCAATCATTTATTGAGCGCCTCCTATATACCAGGTAGTGTTTTAGGTGCTGGATGTCCTATAGTGAACAAAAAAGACCAGTGTTCCTGTTCTCATTAAGCTTGTGTTCTAAAGAAGGGGAGAGATCACAAACAACTAAAATATTTAGTATATAAGATAGCAAAAGTGCTGTGGAGAAATTTACAGCAAGGAAGTGTGGGAGAGAGGACTGGGATGGAGGTTTGCTAATAGGATGGGCAGGGACAAGACCTCATAGAGAAGCTAACATTGGAGCCAGGTGAATAACTGGGATATCTGATGTTGATCATTTCATGAGGAAAATGCAGGCCCATTTGGAGTTGACTCTCACCCAATATAAGAGTGTGCTCCTTTCCGGCTGCTGTCAAATGATGTCACTCTCGGAGAATAGAGTGGCTCAGCTTAAGCAAACTCTCATCATGGGGCTTAAGGGTCATTTTTTCTCTAAAAGAGTTTAAGTGTAAAATTGTCTGTCACTCCCTGCAGGAAAAGTTGCTTGGTTTGATGTCACTGCCAACCAAAGAACAGTTTGAGGAACTGAAAAAGAAAAGGAAGGAGGAAATGGAGAGGAAGAGGGCCATGGAGAGACAAGTGAGTGAAGCCAGGGATATGGGGCCCGCTTCCTCCTGTGGCTCTGAAGCACAGAGGCTGCCGTGAGCTCCCAGGTTGTGTGGGGTTGTAGTGAATCAGAACCTCTCTCTGAAATGTGCATATTTCTTCTATTGTGTTTCAGCCTCACTTTTATCTATGGGAACTAGAATAATTGTTTTTCTCCCCAGGTCCTATTTTTCTTTCAGAGCTTCTGCTGATTCTCTCATGGCTAGAATATCACAGAGATTGACAGTTCTCCCTATGGCAGAAGTTGCAGAGGACCAAGACATTAGGAAGTTCCTTGTAGAACACATTGGTATATGCAATATTAAACAGAAAATTATATGTGTATTTAACACTGTGTGAGATTCCAGTGTAGATGAGGGGAACAGACCTCAGAGGTTTAAGAAGAGTATATGGCCTGTGAATCTAAGATTGAGAAAATCTGATGCCCTAACTTATTCATTATATTTTATTTTTATTTTTGAAAATCAGGGTCTCCCTTCTGCCCACATATACACAAAAACATGACTTGATTTTAGCAGTTGGATATCTTTGTCCTGAGGTGAGAAATTGGAGTGTCACTGGCACAGGGATAGAGGGACAACAGAGGGTGGGTGACAGTGTGGGCTGCTGCCAGCATGGTGACTATTTCTTCTCTCTGCTTTGCTCTCTCCCCAGGCTGCCCTGGAGTCTCAGCGAAGGCTTGAGGAAAGGCAGAGTGGCCTGGCTTCTCGAGCAGCCAACGGGGAGGTGGCATCTCTCCGCAGGGGCTCTGCCCCCTTGAGAAAGGCTGAGGGCTGGCTCCCGCTGTCAGGAGGTCAGGGGCAGAGTGAGGACTCAGACCCGCTCCTCCAGCAGATCCACAACATCACATCATTCATCAGGCAGGCCAAGGCCGCGGGCCGCACGGATGAAGTGCGCACCCTGCAGGAGAACCTGCGGCAGCTGCAGGACGAGTATGACCAGCAGCAGACAGAGAAGGCCATTGAGCTGTCCCGGAGGCAGGCTGAGGAGGAGGACCTGCAGCGGGAACAGCTGCAGATGCTGCGTGAACGGGAGTTGGAACGAGAAAGGGAGCAGTTTCGGGTGGCATCCCTGCACACACGGACTCGGTCCCTGGACTTCCGAGAAATCGGCCCTTTTCAGCTGGAGCCCAGCAGAGAGCCTCGCACCCACCTTGCTTATGCTTTGGATCTAGGCTCTTCCCCAGTTCCAAGCAGCACAGCTCCCAAGACCCCTTCACCTAGCTCAACTCAACAGCCCACCAGAGTGTGGTCTGGGCCCCCAGCCCTTGGCCAGGAGCTCTTAACCCAGAGCAGCATGCCACAACCACATGAGGGGCCCTCCTTAAACCCCTTTGATGAGGAAGACCTCTCCAGCCCCATGGAAGAGGGCACTACTAGTCCTCCTGCTGCAGGAGTTTCCTTCGACCCTTCAGCCCGCATGCTGAAAGAGTACAATCCTTTCGAGGAAGAGGACGAGGAGGAGGAGGCAGTGGCAGGGAATCCATTCATTCAGCCAGACAGCCCAGCTCCTAACCCCTTCAACGAGGAAGATGAACATCCCCAGCAGAGGCCCTCAAGCCCTCTGGTTCCTGGCAACCCCTTTGAGGAACCCACCTGTACCAACCCCTTTGAGATGGACAGTGACAGTGGGCCGGAGGCTGAGGAGCCCATAGAGGAAGAGCTCCTCCTGCAGCAGATCGATAACATCAAGGCATACATCTTTGATGCCAAGCAGTGTGGCCGCCTAGATGAGGTAGAGGTGCTGACAGAGAACCTGCGGGAGCTGAAGCACACCCTGGCCAAGCAGAAGGGGGGCACTGACTGATCGGCAGTGGAGAGGGCACCTTTGGGCCCAGGGGTCTGGCAGGAGCCAGTGGAGCAGGACAGAGGGCAGGCAGGGTGGATGGAGAAGGTGGCAGGGTGAGAAGTCAGATGCACACAGGTGAGGGGCAGGAATCTGCTGTTTTGTGTTGTGCACTTTGAGGTGTTTCCACTACAGTTGAATAATAGAATAGAAACTAGAACAGGGAGAATCAGCATTTATTTGCTGTTTTTCCTGTTTATTATTACTATCTTTTGTAATTGGAGGTTTACCCCTTTTGAAGGGACTTTACATTTTTACTATCGAGATATAACTAAATGCAGCTCTGTTGGGCCCAGGGCAGAAATGGCTGCTGTGTACCTCTTGGGTCTATTTGCTACTGCCTAGTCTTGGTTCCTTTTGCAGTATTATAGGGCAGCCTTTATAGAGCCCTTCTTTAGCCAAGACAGAGAAGATAGATTCCACTGAGCTATATTCTGCTCTGACAGAAGTCCATCCCTAGTAGGCTGTGAGTTCCATTTCACCTGGGGCCGCCTCTCCCCTGCTCTGCGCTTCCTGTCTGCACAATAGCGGGGGGAAGTGCTGCTATGAAGGGGAGAGTTTAGACCCAGGAGAGCCCAGCACCTCTTTTTAAGGTGGGGTGATGGGAACATTTCACCAGGGTCTATTTTCCCAGTTTAAGTTGTTTTTTGTCTCTTTCAGGAAGTTAAGCTGCCAGTGCAGGGTATCAATGTGAATCTGGTCCTGAGCTTTTTAGAAAATAAGAGTGGTTAACTTTTTGGTTGATACTAGTATTACTTGTGAGAAGAGTTTCCCCACCCTTGTTCTGATGGAACAATTGTCTGTCACTGGAGAAATCTCCCTCCAGAGCTTTGGCAAAGTTACTCTGATCTGGGTCTGTTTAAAAGGCCTGGTCTCTAATTTAGGAATCGGTGATCTGGAAGCTTTTGCAAAACATCACCAGAAGAAGGGAAGCTTCCCAGAGTCAGAAGCTAAATTAAAATAATTTCCAAGGCTATTTGATCAGCCTTCTTCCCTTTTGGTTCATTGTGTTCTGACCTGGGGCACTGATGAGTTTTTTTTTTTTTGGAGACAAGAGTCTCACTTTGTTGCCCAGGCTGGAGTGCAGTAGCATGATCTCAGCTCACTGCAACCTCCACCTCCCCAGTTCAAGTGATTCTTGTGTCTCAGCCACCTGAATAGCTGGGATTACAGGTGTAGACCACCATGCCTGGCTAATCTCTGTATTTTTAGTAGAGATGGGGTTTCACCGTTTTGACCAGGCTGGTTTTGAACTCCTGGCCTCAAGTGATCTGCCATCTTGGCCTCCCAAAGTGCTGGGAACACAGGCGTGAGCCACTGTGCCCACCCTGATGAGATGTTTTATTACCAACGTTAGTATTAAGAAACTGAAATGTTTGAAGAAGCACAACCCAGGATCGTGCTGGTAGCACCCACAGTACTTAACTATTAGTCAATTAAGACCAGAAAGGGAAATTGTTAATTTAGCTCTGGTGCTTTGGTTTACAGGAACATAACCCTTAACTGACATCTGACATCATGATAGCCACATGTGCTCAGCTCCGGGTAGAGTTTCTGCAGTTACTCATCTTAACTAATGAACAATAACTGACCACTGGTCACTTTATGCCCTGTAACTAGCTTTAGGCCATACTTTCACTGGTTACTGGTGTGAGAGCTGAAATTAATTTTGTTACATTCTGGTGAAGATCCCTCTTGATAATGGGAATGTTTGAACTCTCTTGATGAAAAAATAATCTGTATTTGTGTTGATGTTCACATTTCTGTATCACATTTCTTACCCTTTGGTTGAATGAAAAGGTCTTGTATAGGGTGTGGAGACGGGAAGTGGGGACCCTTTGCATTTGGGATCTGTTCACAAACAGCCATACGAGTGGGTTAACGAATGTCAGCCAATTACCAGCCCTGCTGGTGGTTATGGGTTGTTTTGAGAAGTTGGCAACCAGGCATCTAAGATGTTGCCTGGTACAGGCCTCTTTTCTTCCCTGAGGCCCATGACATTTCTCTGATACTCCAGAGGGTTTCCCAGATGGCCAGTAGGCTCCTCCCTGCTTAGGCTCTCATTTCTCTGAAAAGAGGATGAATTGAAAAGCAGGTAGTTTCAGAAGCTAATTGCTGCTTTCCATCATAATTATTTTTCTTGTGAGAACATTTCTCTTTTAATTAGCTAGTGATTTTGATTAACACTAATTCACTAAACATACCCCTTCCCTCAAATCACCTCAGGTAACAATCTGTAAGTAACTAAAAGCATTGAGAAACACACAAGAAACATTTTTTAAACCTATTTTTAAAGGCCCGGCTGGGTGCAGTGGCTCATGCCTGTAATCCCAGCACTTTGGGAAGCCGAGGCGGGTGGATCACCTGAGGTCAGGAATTTGAGACCAGCATGGCCAACATGGTGAAACCTCGTCTGTACTAAAAATACAAAAATTAGCTGGGCGTGGTGGCAGACGCCTGTAATCCCAGCTACTCAGGGAGGCTGAGGCACAAGAATCACTTGAACCTAGGAGGCGGAGGTTGCAGTCAGCCAAGATTGCACCACTGCACTCCAGCCTGGGTGAGAAGAGCAAGACTCCGTCTCACGAAAAACAAACAAAACTGACTCATTGAATATACTAAACCAAACTAAAGTCATATTATTTTGATTAAGTTTATCCATGGCTGTATTCTTCTATGAATTCTTCCATTTAATTCTTCCATGATTATCTTCTCCTGTAAATATATACATCACAGGAGTTAGAATTCTCTACCCATCAGCTGTACCATGTTGCAGAATTCATGCAGGCACAAAGTTGGAGTTACAGAGATGGGTTGACAGCAGGGAAAACTTGGCCTATGTATTATAACCACAACTTCAAGTTCTTACCTCATGTGAATATTCACCCTTCCTTTAGTCTTCCAAGGCAAATAGCCCCATCTCATCACCAAATGAGCAAGGTCTTGATACGGCATAGCAGATCTCCCTAAACACAGATCATGAGAAAAGATGGAAGAGACTTAGGGATTCAGGCATCAGATGAAGTTGGCTTTTCCCTTTTATGCCTTGTTTGTATTTCCCCCTGTCTAATACACTAAGGATACTTACTCATTGTACTTGCAGCTCAATATGTCTTTGCTGTTCAGATACTAAACTGTATCTCTGAGTCATTGTGAGCTGTGCAGTAGGTTGGACATTGTCATAGTTGGTGATGGGACTCAAAATGAAAAGGTGGTCTCTTTACCAGGTCACAGACTGTAGCAGATTGTGCTTGTTATCTGACAATGACTGTCACTTTGAGGGTCGTTGATTTGCATGCACTATTCTGGGGCCTTGTATTGGAGCCTTTTTTAAAAAAAATAAAATCTGAGATAGAGGTTGGGGGTGTGTGTGTCTGTGTGCACGTGTGTTACAAGTGAGAATCATCAGATGACATCTCTTCTTTCTTGATGACAACCATCTGAGTATCAGAATAGTTCCAGCACCTGTGTTGTTTGTCTGGTTAAAGCCTCTGGAAAAAATGAAGGTCACTGGGCTCTGAACAGGGGATAGATACGGGTTCCAGTTCTGCCCTTATTCCCAGTTATTCCTGCAGTGCTGGTTAAATGAACAGTTTTACACAGTGTAGTGCAGATCCCTTAATGATCCTATCATCCCTGTTTCACACTGGAAGAAACTGAGGCTCAGAGATTGAGGAACCTTGTGATTGCCATCTGCCAGTCACCACCCCTGCATGACCACATTTCCCTCCATCGGCTCTACCAGCATGCCTGTGAGGGAGGTAGTTACTCAGCTGTTCTTCTGACCCTAGATGCAGAAAAGTTAAGAGAGATTAGCCTGGCTTAGGCCACACAGCCAGTCAATGGTGGAATGAGGGTTTAAATCCAGATCTGCCTGGCTTACTTTGCCCTCAGTAACAAGTAGCTGGGTCAGGTGGTGGTTTGGTGGTGGTGGGTGCTCAACCATTGTGTCAAGCTCAAAGAGGGCAGAAAAGGGCAATGGGGAATGAGGTTGGGTGCTGCTGAGCTGGTTTCTGATAGTGACTTTACCTGAGTCTGTGAAACAGATCTCCTTAGGGCCTATGTAGATTCTTAAACCAGGAGAGTATAATATGTAGTGCTCACTATAGGCTAGACTGAGTGCTAAGTATTATGCATGGCTTACCTCAGTCTTCCCAACAACCCATTTACAGATGCGGAAATAAGTGAGTGGTGAAGTTAAGCTTGCTTAGGGTTGCACTGCTGGGTTTCCAGCCTAGGTCTGTCTGACTGCAAAACCCAAGCGGCCCTAGATTGTGTTGTATGTGGACACCCATGTTTCTAACGTGGAATGGGGTGTTTCATCCCTAGTAACTGCCTCCAGTGGACTTTTAAGATGAAAAACTTGTGCGTAACTCGTCAGGAAGCCTAGTGTAGTTGTAAAAATACTTCAGAAAGCACTTCCGATTTTGGCTCAGATACATAGAGTTTGAAAGTTATCCTATCCTTACCACAAGAAAAAGCTGGGCAAACCAAATCAATGGCCTTTCTTGGTCCCATTAGAGAGCTGAGTGTGCAAGTCAAACTGCCATCCCAAAATCTGGAGAGAGGTGAGTCCAGAGAGTCAGCAAGATCTGATTGGAGCAGAAGCCATGGGAGCCATAGCTAGTAGGAAAACTTAAATGGTAATTTTGAGGAACTGCTGGAGGTTGAGTGTGGACTAGCATGGGAGTGAGCAACTCTCCCTCACCCCCAACGCTTTCCTGGGTTTTACTCGACTTGGTTCTTTTGGTGAAGAACTGAGAAAGACCCTCTGGTGGCTCTGGTGGGAAAGGGAGAATCATCTTTGTAACCAGAGCCTTCTCCATAACAAAGCTTATTCCCCAGAGGAAAGCACTTTTTCACAGAGCCTTATCCCATCTGGAGGAGGGCATTTCTCCCATTCCAGCCCCCTCTAGCCTTCCTGGGTCTTGTAAGGGGGGTACAAAGGGGAATTAAGAAACACTTGTGAGCCAGTGCGGTGGCTGACACCTGTAATTCCAGCACTTTGGGAGGCCGAGGTGGGCAGATTGCTTGAGCCCAGGAGTTGAAGACCAGTCTGGGCAATATAGCGAAACTTCATCTTTATAAAAAATACAAAAATTAACCAGGCATTGTGGCACGTGCCATAGTCCAAGCTACTCGGGACTGAGGTGGGAGAATTGCTTGAGCCTGGGAAGTAGAGGCTGCAGTGAGCTGTGATTGCACCACTGTACTGCACTCCAGCCTGGGTGATAGAACAAGACACTGCCTCAAAAAAAAAAAAAAAAAAAAAAAGAAAAGAAAAAACCTTGTATAGGTCACAGCCCAAGGACACAAGCCCACTAAAATGCTGAGATTTAATCATAAGATTATAGAATGCTTCACCTCCCCCATGTTTTTCCACCATATCAACAGGACTCCAGGATAGTAACAGTAAGTTACAGCTGGAAGAGCTGCAAGACATGGACTCTCTCAGGAGGAATATCCAGGGAAGCCCAAAGGCAAGAGGAGATAAACACAAAGACACTAGAGGAACTGGAAGCTTCTGACACCTACAGCTATGGCAAACATTAAACACAGCTCACAACTCTGAGTCAGATTAACATAAGTTCTCATTCTAGAGGCTTATTTACCCCAGTTCTTATGGCCCAATAGAGTGGATATTCTACTTTCAACAAAAAAAATT